GATATCAATATCTTAGGATATCAGTATCTTAGGATATCAGTATCTTAGGATATCAGTATCTTAGGATATCAGTATCTTAGGATATCAGTATCTTAGGATATCAATATCTTAGGATATAAGTTTTCTTAGGATATCAATATCTTAGGATATCAGTATCTTAGGATATCAATATCTTAGGATATCAATATCTTAGGATATCAGTATCTTAGGATATCAATATCTTAGGATATCAATATCTTAGGATATCATTTTTCTTAGGATATCATTTTTCTTAGGATATCAATATCTTAGGATATCAATATCTTAGGATATCAGTATCTTAGGATATCATTTTTCTTAGGATATCAATATCTTAGGATATAATCCCTATCTATCCATTGGGATACATTTAGTTATGCAAATTTTTGTTCGCCTAATCCCTTAATTACCTACACGCCACCTAATCACTTAGCAATGCATAACAACGCAGCAAAGTTTAAAATGTTTCTTAATACAAATAATAGACAAAAAATATTACAACTAAGACTGTTAAATTGTTCTACAGGTTATTTCCTTCAAGTATTCTATCTGACTCGGTCATCTTGACCGTATATATGTATGCGGGTTTACAACATGCAAATAGCGATCATAACAACGGCTTTGACAACCCGGGATTAGCAACTGCTTATTTCTGTTGCGATATTTTTTATTTCTGTTTGGAAACTTATTACTCAAAACGAGCCATCAAAATTAAAACGAATTTCAATTGCGTGTTGAAAATAAGAGAGGGACTCACAACGTTGCTACATGGTTGTAAGGCAAAAAACTTTCTACCGTACCGGGTTCGAACCGGTGACCTAAGGAATACTGATTTGGTAATAACTACAGTCCTTTGCTCTACCAACTGAGCTAACGGTAGGTTTTAAAAACTAACTTCTATTTCATACTTTTATACATGCAAACTATGAGAAACCTCTTGTCGTTTTATTACAAATTTGTCAGAAACTAGTTGTAATGCTAATCGATCGCCTGCCGCAGTTGGCCCAGGCCTGCCCGCGTTAATTGGTCGCGCTACCTGGCCCAGTTGGGCCAGGCCTGCCTGTGTTAATTGGTCGTGCTACCTGTCACAGTTGGCCCAGGCCTGCCCGCGTTAATTGGTCGCGCTACCTGTCACAGTTGGGCCAGGCCTGCCCGCGTTAATTGGTCGCGCTACCTGGCGTTACAGATTTTGCAAGCTCATTATAAAATCCGCCAGATTGTTAGCCGAACAAAGTGACGTCATAGATTTTGGAAGCTCATTATAAAATCCGCCAGAGTGGGGTCCTTCACTACTACTTATCACGCTGGCTAATTTATGAGGATAAAATATTTATGAGTTTGAGATACACGCGTAAAGATCTCACAGCTTGTGAACAAGACGTGTTCGCACTGCCTGTTCCCAGGTATTGACAAGTCTGGAACAAGTTGTTATCATCTTCTGACAAGGTTGATGAGGCCAACAGACTCGCAAAAAGTTGTTCCAGCATGTCTGATATATCCTCTATACAAGTAACAAGTTGACGACAACAAGCTCGCAGCAACTTGTTACGGACAGCCTGTGTTAGTCTTGTTGCATGGAACAACTTGCACCGTAGTTAATAGAAGAGATGGTTTGGAAACTCATTAGAATAACAATATAACTCATTATCTATGTTAGTCAACGTTTATTCATAAATCTGGTCGTTTACCGTCAGGTGTGTATTGTATTTTTGCCCAACTAACCATGTCTTAGGAAAGTTACCTATCCGTGACTCGAACAATAGGGAAATTGGAAATTGCTATTGGTGGATTTGGTAAAAATACAATACACACGTGACGGTGAAGGACCATATTTATGAATAAACGTTGACTAACATAGATAATGAGTTATATTGTTATTCTAATGAGTTTCCAAACCTATCTATTCTATTAACTACGCTTGTACCAAGTCTGTTATCATCAACCTTAATGTAACAAGGTGATAACAACTTGTTCCAGACTTGTCAAAAGAACTGGGAACAAACAGTGCGAACACATCCTGATATCGGCTTGACAACCATGTGTAACTTTTTACAGATATGTAACAACGCATGCACCTGAACTAGCTACAATTTGGGCAATTTCGAAGGCTTCTATATTCTAGTTTTTCGAGAAAATTTGTGAGCGCCGATAATTTATTCACCTCGTCTTGATATTTTTCTGAAGGTTGTTGTAATCGATTACGTAATCTCTCAATCTCATCTTCCAATTCATTGAGTTCATTCTCTTTTCTGGCTGCGTCTTCACTTAGCTGAAGGAAACGGATTATTTATTTAATGATTTAATGAGCATTATTTATTTAATGATAGTATAAGCATTATTTATTTAATGATTTAATGAGCATTATTTATTTAATGATAGTATAAGCATTATTTATTTAATGATTTAATGGAAATAAACAGTTGGACTATAATGAAACTAATAGTAAAAATAAAAACTTGCTCAACCCTGATTGGCTAAGGGCAGTGCAATTACTGCATTACTGCAGTACAATCAACAAAAAGGGAACAGTGACTGGAAACGAGACAAAAAAAATCAACACAGCCGCAAATGTTCACTGTTCTAACGACCTACTGTGTATTTTCAATTGAAAATTGTATGTGAATACAAGAATTCTTAAACACAAGAAGCACATATAGACGGAAAAGCAATGGAGATAATGCTTAAACAGCATAGATGAGCACGCACGTGTTACTGAAGCCCATGGGGCACCTGATTTTCAAAATTTTCAGAGGGAGTGCAAAAAAAATTTTAAATGGAAATTTTTTTCAAAATCCTTACTACCGAAATAGTATGGATCTTAGTAGGAAATAGTAGAGAAATGCAATTTTACAGTAATTGCAATTTCCATACTACGGATATAGTACGGAAATACTATGGATATAGTGATTCAATTGCAAATTCCATAGTATGAATTTCACTATTTTTCCCAGTGTTTACGTTTGGTCTTTACTGAGATTTTATGTTTGTCCCTTTATACCTGCGATAAAGCGTCTTCTGCTGCCTTCAACTGACTTTCTGCGCGAGAAAGCTCCGCTCTTAATCCATCTACTGCAGCCTTTGCCTTTAAAAAGAACAAAATATCCAAACATAATGCTTCGCACAACACCAACAACAACAACAACAACAACAACAGCAGCAACAGCAACAGCAACAGCAACAACGACAACAACAACAACATAAACAGCACCAACAGCACCACCAGCAACAACAACAACAACAACAACAACAACAACAACAGCAACAGCAACAACAACAACAACAGCACCAGCATCCCCAGCACCAGCAACAGCAACAGCAACAATGCAACTTTAGGCCCTCCGCAGGAAACGAAACTTGCGGCCCATGGGATTCCTGATAGTGCAACGTTCTGTCCGCGGAATTACAGACCTTGGATTTCGGTATACTTGTCCGCCATACCTGCTTTTGTTGACGTTTTCCTTTCTCTCTCTCATTCTCCAGATCATTCAACAAATCCAGATATTTCTGATGCAACCCAGCCAGACATTCTCCAACGCCATCAGTCTCATCAACAGGCTGCCTGACATCAACATTTCCTTGCTCCAGATCATTCAATAAGTCCTTCAATCTTTGAAGTAGTTTATCTTTGTCTTCCGCGTCTCTGGTTCTTCTCTTCAACTCGTGGTCTGCTTCGTCTAAACGGTCTTTCAAAGCTTCATTTGTTGCCTATATTTACGGAAAATTAAGTGTACAAAAATGAACTGGGCTTCCTATTTCTTGCTGCAAAAACCTAGGTATAGGGTTGGTCGACGTTTCTTCTCTTTTGTAAATTTTCTTATAAATGCTCAAGCATGAGAAGGATATTCTACATCAATTTCGGCAAGCACAAATGGCACAAACATTCGTTAAATGTTATAATGTTATCCGGAGAAGCCCGGCTAGGAACACTGGAACACCGAAACAGCATGACTCCGGAACACGGAACACCAAAAGATTTTACTTCGTTAAAAATTATGGGGATGGGAATTATTGTTGGAATAATTATTGCGTAAAACCTCGTTGTAACATACCTTTAAAGCACTGACTTGTAAAGCGAGTTCTTTTATTTCTTCTTCCTTGTCACCAATCCCCCTTGCGGCTTCTAAAGCTTTCGCAATACGCTCTTGGTCTTTTTCAACACGTGACCGTTCAGCCTCACGTTCATTCTGAATGAGAGAAATTGAATACATTCACTGGGAAAAAATATCAAGTTTTTAGACGCTTTCTGGTTTAAAATGTTTATTGATTTAACGAGCTTTCGGTACCAGTCTGCGGCCTTCAAAGAGTAATTTACAATGAGATATTACAATGGTTTACAATTACATTTATAATATATTTGCAGTGGTGTCAAGTAACGAAGTAAATGTACTTCGTTACTGTACTTGAGTAGTATTTTTGAGAAGTCAGCATGTAACAAAGTAAACTTTTTCTGGAGTACTTTTACTTGGAACGAAGTCGTTTCAAGAAGTAACGTTTTACTTCGTTATTTTCATTTTGTGGCGAAGTATTTCGTTACTCTCTAACTTTTGTTTAATTTTACGTGATTTATTCCGGATTTAATTGAATTTAAGGATAGGAATTAGGACCTCTGCATGCGTCTGGGATCTCTCGTTTGTGACTTACTTATAAGCATTATTTATTTAATGGTTTCTTATATCTTCAACGGGGTCTGGAGAGTAGACCATGCCACCCTCCAGCCACCCTCGGTGCGTCCAATCCCGGACTCACCTCCTTACAAGTATGTTTGTTATAATTCCCCCAGAAAATTTTTAAAATTTGGATCTCTGAAATAGCATTTCCTGCAATGTGAGAACACATTTTGATAAAAAATCTCAGCTTCTCAAAACACAGTTTTAATGATGAAATTTGTAATAAATTGCATGGTAAACATTAGGGTTGGGCGATATTTCGATATTTTGATTTATCGCGATATTTTCAATCGCGATTATCGTATCGAAGGTAGAAACTTGAGCGACGATATATCGAAATTATCGTCATGCTCGATGACTATCGCGATATTGCTTCGCATGTGTATACAGGTGTATAGCTTTTATAAAATCCTAAAAAAATCTTTCAGTTCCTTGAAATATAGTTTTTAAAAGAATTAAAACTATTTCCTGAATTAAATACGAATTTAATACGATAAAATGAAATGAAATTGCAGGCGAAACAATTATGGCCATCCAAACACGGAAACCACAAAGTAACTGTTTTATAAAATAACAACTTTCCGTGTTAAAATTTCACTTTAAAAAACTTTCACTTTAAATTTCCGTGTTTGGATGGCCTGATTCAAACACGGGTTTCGACCAATCAGAGCACGTGTTATATACATGTTATTTTATAAATGCAATTCCATACCTCAAGCTGTGCTTTCAATTTCTTGACGTTGTCTTGAAGTCTTCCAATTTCTTTGCTGGCATGTTTCAGTTTGCCGTCGGCCTCCACTAATCCTAGCTTGTTGTTTTTCTCGAAGGCCGATAATTTATCCTGCAATTCGTTTTCTCTCGCCTCAGCCTCTTGCGACTTTCGCTCTTCATTCCTCAAGGCAACCAAGGCATCTGTAAACGGTTTAAATAGAGATGGATTCACTAAGCACCATTGCTCAACAGTTATCAGGATGAGACAATATATACCTGGTGTTCCCAAAAAAAACTCGACACTGTTTGATTTCATGTATAACGTAAAGGTTATAAAAGCTATCGCAATAAAATAACATAAAGATCATTGCATTCAGAAAGGACTAA